AAAGGTGGTTTCTTTGTAGTGCAGCTGATATCAGAGCAATTGTTCTCACTTTCATTTATCTCCACTAAAGGTTACCTTTGTCCACCAGCCCACTCTCTGCCAATGTGTTAACATTATATCAGATATAGACACAGACCAAGACGGGAGTCTGTGTGTGTGTGTATGTATATATGTGTGTGTGAGAAGTTATTTGGTTCTTTCAGATGTGTGTCTCCAACTTCACCAGAGTAATGCTATGTTATTACCTGGGCTGCAATGCAGGTAACTGTTTTCCTCCTGTTTATTCTCATCTTTATTATCATTGTTTTAACCTTAAGGTTAGTGGGCGAAATAACCTTGCAAATGGCCTCAAGATTACATTGATATATCTCTCTATATAGAGCAGAGCGGACAGCAAATGTCAATGCCAACTACAAGTTCTCATTCTAGCCTCTTAGCAAGTAAAGCCCCGTCTTCAACTCTTCTCTTCTCCTGAATGTTTTTTTCTGCCGTCCTCTGTCCTTTTTCATCCACACTGATACAACACCTGTCTATTCTAATCCACCTGGCTGGTCTCTGTAAACTACCATCCCCTCTTTGTGCTCAACACCCAGCTATCCCTTCCATCCTTGTGCTCAACATAAAGACCTTCACTCCTAACAAACCCTCCACCCCCCTCCCCCACACACAGTCTGATTCTTCTTCAATCCTAATGTAAGCCTTTTTCCCCTCATTCACTTACTGTAATGTCAAGACAACCAAGAGAGCCCATTTTGGCATCAAGTATAGAACATGTTTTTGAATGACAGCATGTAATCATTCCTGCAATTTTTCCCATTTCATGGATGCTTTGAATTGGGTGCACTTGCTTTCAAGGAAAGGCATCCTGCTCGTCACTTACTTTGCCTAAAACGTGCTATTTTTCATTCATTTCCAAGTACAGTGCAAATATGTTTGTCAAGTTATTATTAAACCTATGCATTTGTCACACCTTGTCTTGGATAACTTTCTGACTCTTATGTGGTCCCGAGGACATAGGGACTAGGATTGTGTTCGACATTCACTTACTCTACAGTAATTCACTACTCACTTTACAGTGGTGAAATGTAACAAAGTACATTTTCTCAACTACTGTACTTTTTGAGGTAATTGAAGTTTACTTCCACTACATTTATCTGACAGCTAATTAGTTACTTTGTAGGTTCAGATTTTTCATACAAAACTTATGATCGACTTGTAAAATATTTTAATTTCTATAAATGAGACTACCAAAAACTAGACTCCCTTTATACAGGTAACAACATAAAAATTCTGATTACACATTATTGCATCAGTGGTAGTAATGCAATATAATATATGTAATAATATAACGCTGAGTGCTTTCACTTTTGATACTTATTATGATTCTTTATTCTTTCTCTTACAATAATAGCTATTAAATGATAATGTGAAAGCAATGTGACAATGCTAACGAGTACGCTTCTAGTGAACCCTACAGAGAATAATCACCCAAATGTGCAGCTCCCCTCGGCTTTACGTTTTGGTTCACTCTCAGCGCGCTCGTACATCATTTTTCTGCTGTAGCAGGCAGCTGTTTTCAGTGATAAAGCTCTAAAAACACATTGTGCACTACTTGCTTAGCAGCACACAACAGACAGACAAAGTTAGAGACCGCTGCTTGAGACCAAAGCGGAGCACTTAGCATCTATAGAGCCAGATATTTCCCTCCCAACACTGTCACTAAATAAGGAATTCTATATAAAAGAATTAAAGACAGCTTCTTCCTTCAGGCTGTGTGACCTCAACAATTCATTATACATTTTTATAACTCATTAATCAATTTTTTATTTTGTTTTGTTAAAAGTAGCATAAAGGGAACTATATCTAAATTTCATTCTACAATCTTCTGTTGTAAATGACAATGAAATAGAGGACTTACATGGCCACATCAGAACATTAATTCCGGGCAGTACTCAGGTCATTACTCTAATCTGCTGTCTCCTATTCAATGTTTTAGAATGTTTTTAGAAGCTTGGTTACTCACAGCATTTTAATTTGGGTCTCATTTTATTGATAATATATTGTTACTTAAATATATTTATCTTAATGGTTTACCATGTATACTATATGGTGTCTTTTTTAGCACACAAGACACACATCACACAGTCTTTTATTTTATTCAGAATTGTTTTTATCCTATTTCATTTCCTGCTGTGTAAAGTGCATTAATATTAATGTGCATTTGTGTTTCATTCAGCATGCAAGAGGCATGCCAGACCGTAAGGTGTGTTGACATGTTATTTGGGCAGTGGCCATCCTGGGGGTGTCATTTCTAAGCATCAATCACAGAGAGCTGAAAACTGTCTTTTCTGACAACCTCATCTCATCTGTAAATACTCATCCCACTGATGCAGGTTTTCATGGAATTAATGAGGCTGCTTCATGTGCTGATGCATGTGAAAGGGGGCCTTCCTTCAAATTGCTTTCCTTTATTGCCTCCCCCCCCACCCCTTCCTCCCTCACCAGAAATCATATTAGCCAAACCAATCTCATTTACAACATGCCATTTGTTAATTGAGCCCCCTTAACTAATGCATGTGTGAGAGAAATAGAAGTGAGCACGATGCAGGAACAAGAAACAGAAAATAAGAGAAAGGAGGAGACAGCTGTGAAACTGGGGAACATGGATATTAGGAAAGAAAGAAAGGAAGAAAGGAACAAAAGGAAGGTTAGCCATTAAGACAGCAGAGTTTCAGGGCTGTGGACTATGTAGACACTGGAGTTCATTTAACATCAATACCAATCAATCCATCTATAAACGAGTTATTCATTGATTAACTGATTACTCTATATATCTCATTTACTCTATAAAATGCCAAACATAGTGCTAAAACACCACAAGTGTATAACATTAAGGAGGATCTATTGGAAGAAATGGAATATAACATGAATAATTGCATTCTTTCATCAGTGTGTAATTACATTAATTTGGGAATCGTTATGTTTTGTTATCTTAAAATGAGCCTTTTAAATCTACAGACGCCCTTCATGGAGTTCGCCAAGTTGAACCGCCACGTTTCTACAGTAACCCAGAAGAGACAAATCAATCACTGGCTCTAGATAGGGGTGTTTCTCCTTCCCCGCTTGGAAGGGGAAGGTGAAGCGAGGGACTTGTGATCTGTAACTACACCTCTAGATGCTGCCAAATCCTACAAACTAGACCTTTAAAGTACCCATGAAGAATTATATTGATAATGATAGGAAACAGACTAAAACAAGCACATTTTCTCATTTGTTAATCAATTATTTATTACTTGTAAAATGACTGGAACAATCAACTGGTAATCAAAATTGAGCACTTGTGAAAACACAATGTATTACTGGCATTTTGTAACGCTCCCCCCATTGTAAACTGTCAGTGTCGAACCTGCTTGTGAGTTTGTAGTAATTACTGTGCTGTGGCTAAGGTGATGACAGGGAAACAGGAGGGCATACGGCAATCTGTCTTCTCCTCCTAGTTATTGCCTGTGTCTTCCACACTGGCTGCCTTTATCTTTGCTCGTAAGGACGGAGACCAACACAAGGCCAGTTATTACCGCCTCAGCAGCCTGGATAAGATCAAAAAAGACCGGTTGAACACTGAAGATGTAATGACTGTGCTCTTCTAAGGACTGCTGCATGGTTTGTCATGTCATTATCCCCCAGTTAAGGCTCAGTTTTTTTCCTTCATCCTTTACAAGTCTTTTGCGGTTCCAGAGCGAGGACAGTCTCCAATTATTTTGATGTGGGGAAAAAATTACCCAGCATTCATGTTTAACTGAATAGAAATGTTTCTTCTTCCTCACCTTTTTGTGCTGTTGGTGTTTTACTTCAGATCTCTCTTTTCCTTTCCGTTATTTCCTTCTTTTTCCTCACATAATATATTCTGCCCCATTCGTGCCAGTGGTTTGAACAAGAGCAATTTGTCATGTTGGAAAGGAAGTACTGAAAGCCACTCACGTACTTCATGGTAATTACATGTGACAGAAGAGGAGGAGGAGGAGAGCAACAGCGTGTCAGTACGCTGAAAGAGGAGGAGGTCATGGTTCTTCTGCACCTGTATGGCCTCCCACATACTCTGACCACAACTAATGGAAGTGATAGGGGGACAAAAGGGTGGGGCAGAGGTGGCTTGGAGGCTGCAGAGATTGGAGTCCTTTTAAAACCCCAGGTGTCCATAAAGAACCAGAATCTGTGTTTATTGTCAAACACAAGGAATTTGAGGGTCCTGATGTTGGGATATTACAAGGGTAAAACATGACTTGTCATGTAAGACTCCTTGATTATGTACTCTTATTGCTGTTAAACAGACTTCCGCAGAGGTTAATTTGAGCCTACTACCCCTGAGTGGTGATTATTTCAATTCAGCCAAGATGCCATCTGTTGTCCTGATGCTATGTTTCATCACTGCTAATGAAATAATTTAGCTTGTACCTGCCAGATTCACTTTCCTAAAGCAATATTCATCCCAAGTACAATTATTTTAGTTTACTATATTGTATACTATCCAAAATGGATTAGGTCCAAAAGTAGAAAGAAGTCCTTTGTGAACCACATTTTGTTAGAAGAGTATAGTAATGATTTTCTCAAGATCTACCATCAAAAGTCCCCTTTCAAAAGTTTTTCTTTTCTTTTATAGCTTCAGTTTAATGCTTTTATATTAGTAAAAGCATGTTTTTGTAGCTTCAGCAATTAGTCTAATGTCCTTCTTGCCTGTGTGTCAGTGTGAGAGACCATGAGCGTTTGAAGTATTTGTTTTGTGACCTCTGTGAGAGACAATTTAAAGTGCCACATCATTTCATTTCTTTCTTTCTTTTGACATGTTTGTGTGTGTTTTAATTTGTGTGAGACAGAGAAAAGAGAGTAAAATATAGGCCATGTGTGCTTCTGAAGCTCTGAAACTTAATTTACGAGTTCTGGTGACAGTTCCAGTATCATCTAATTTAATACTTTTCCCTTGTTTTTTTGTTTTTCTATTTAAGGGTCAAGCTGAAGGACGGTGTGGCGTTCCTGGGAGCTAGGGCCATTAACCCTGTTGTGTGGACCGTGAGTCAGGATGTAAGAAGTGAAGGTCACAGGATTGTCACCCTCCACTGTCGGAGGAAGGAGAACAGTTTTAGTCAAAGGTACGTTAGACTCCCTCCTTCCACAGAATTAATCAACGTGTGAATGAAATATGAACTGAACACCCTGCTGAACAACCAGAAAGCAGCAGCTCACTTGTTCATTTCTCAGACAGCTGTCAGTAGAGAGCGATTGCAAAGAGTGAGGATGAAAGAGGTCATGACTCAGCATCCCAACCATTAATTCCTTGGCACTGCCACGCCTGCAGGTCCACAGCCAGTTTTAAGTGCAGTCAATAAAATGTATTGTTCAAGGAAGACAGTGTTGCCCTTTGCTCGCAATAAAAGGATAGGTCCGGAAATATTCTATACTTTTCATATTGTCAACAAATCCCATGAAAAGACAAAAAACCAACAATGGATTGATCCTGCTAACAAGTATTGTCTGTGTAGCCAAAGCCTTAGTCCTCTGTGCCCTATACCTTGGCATGGTTGTTAATACAATTAAAAACACATTATTGTGTTTGTGTGTGACATTTTGAAAGCAGCTATAATTGACATTTGTAAAATAACATTGTATCAAATGACAGTGGAAAACACTGACAATGTGAAAGGGATAATTCGGATTGATAAACCTACAAGAATGTCACTTCAATATGCAGGTCCCTGCGGCTTTACGAAGCTTTATAGTTTTATAGTTCAGCTGCAGCTTTAATGTATGTATTCTCTGTCAGCAACAAATATGCATACACACAAAGCTGGTGGACATAGTGGAGCATTTAGCAGCTGAAGAGCCAGAAATTTAAGTCAGGAGTTGGTAGAGACCAAAACTAGAGCTAAAAGAGGGTGAATATTGGACTTACTTTTATCAGGTGGCCAAAACCACAACTCCAAATGATTGATAATGTTTCTCCGTAACTACTGGATGTGTACATAAGGTGATATATCATTCTTGTGTTCAAAACTTTTTTGTGGTCAAAAAATTATGTTACTGCAGGTTTCAAGATTTCAAATACAGCAGCCTTATCTGTTTATGAAACCTCACCCATGTTACGTCACATTCAGTTTAAACTGTCTTCTTAATGTTGAATAAGAAGGAATCCCAGAAACTTTTCCCAACAGTAATAATTTATAACTAATTATTATTAAGTTACCCTTTGTAAAATGTACTGTTTACAGTTCTTTTAAATCACCTACCAAACAAACATTTGACCAGCAGAAGTCAGAAGAAGAGTCAATGGCCAGTCAATATGTATTCCCCAAACAAGCTATCAGGTATAACTAAATTACCTTACGGGTGGTTAGGCATGTTTTATCCCATTAACTACAAGTTATGTACAATTTACTGTTACTTCTTACTATTTTACAAAGTATACCATATACTTACAAGACTGATTTCCCATCTTACACATCCATTAATTTCAGTTCACTATGAATATCATCCAGAAGCAGAGGTTTATTTTTTTCTTATCATGGCAAGGTTTTCAAAACTAAAAAATACTTCATCTTAGCACCTGAAGTTGTTACATTATGAGTTCTGTTGTCAAAAATCACAACCAAATGGCCAAAAATAAGCTGATACGACGGATGTTGTTCAAAAGAATAATGTGAATCTGGTTGTTTGTTGACATAAAGAGGCTACAGCTCAGTAGTTGACACTCAAAATTGAGTCATTGACAGTAGGATTCTGAAGAGAGTCCTTGCTCCATTAAAACCACTTCAAAGTTGAGATGAAGAAATGTAAGTTGTGAATGGTTTTTCATTCCTTACAGAAATTAAATTGAACAAAAAAGGCTGCTTGAAAGGAAGGAAAGTCATCTAAAACTTTGTAAGCTTTGTAAATGGCAATAATGTGAGGTACAATGTATACCTAATATTTAGTATATGGGCTGAAATATACCAAACTGTTTGTCTAAGCCTTTAAATATGAGTATTTTATGAGTATTTGGGTAAGGAATCATAATGTTTTACAAGTCTGAGGAACTTTGGTGGCGTTTAGTTATTACATAAATTTGAAAAGTTGAATGACATCTGACAAAAGAACGTTACAGAGACCACGAAAACATCTGCATCTTTCTAATCAAGACAAACGATGTGCTTTGTAAAGATGTTTCCATTAATAAATAATAACTGTGCATCTGTTTTTGAGTTTCTGCATGTGTGTCTTTGTATAGTATTTGACATTCAACTTGACAGCTAAACGGTTTTAGGCAAAGACAAAGTGGCTGCATACAGGAAGTGACACACCCTGGCTGGGTTGTTATTTCCTCCTGGGTGTCAAGGTGATGACAGTGATGAATGACAAGTCATCTATCATTTACATGCATTTCTTTCACAGCCCCCGCTGAGGTGGACAGACATTGAATTATACAGAGCAGCTCAAATCAAGGTCATACAAGTTAAATCTGGAATTATGCCCTCCAATTCTCCGTTCAACAAAAGACTACCTTGAAGTATTGAGATGATAATGCAACACCTGCCATAACCATGTGCTTTTAGGGTTCTTTAGCTTACATATGGAATGGAAAGACTGGAGCACATCAGTGAATAAAAATCATCATTCAGAGATTGCCAAATGGTGACATTATCAAAACATTGAACTTTAATTTTGAAATCTTTGATGAGGTTAGAGAGAGGAGCAGCCTTGGACTTGTCTATTTTAAAATATACAAGACCATGACTGCTGAAATATGAAAACCCTCCCCTGGCAGTGTCAGTTTTATCTCCTGACCAGCGGTGGTAGAGAGCTCTCAAATTACGCTTTTCTTTTTGTGGTCAGGCATCAACATGAACCCTCCACACACCGGATCAGACAAACATACTGCATGATGGGCTTTTATTGGTCTTTGCTTTTGATTTCAAAACAGGAACAAAATGAGCTGTCTCGAATCGTACATTGTCCACTGAAATCTCTTTTCGCATTACTTTTTGGGAAAAAAAGAAACAGGCCTTAGGGGTGCAGAGTCCTGCTTCATTTATGAGACCAAAACAAGGTTTTAGGAGTTGCCCAGTAACATCAGCTATTATAGCTCTCTGATTGGTCAAACTTGCAGCTGGTCGGCTCTGTCCATTCTCTGTAGATATTTTTCAGACCACCAGCAGGAGAAAAAAAACAAGTCTCAGAAGGTTTAGGCTGACTTGAGGCTACAACAGAATACGATTTGTTATTCTGTTGTCTGAAAGCCTTGAAAGTAATTTTCTAAATTAATTTAGTTTAGTTCGCTGGTACCTGCATGGATTTCCTTTTTGACATACTTTCTCCTACTCACCAGTAATAGGTCCATACACAGGGAGTGATTCTATTCAGTGGCTGTACTGTGGGTAGCAGATATCCCATCAGTCAGGTTAAGTGCAAAATGATCTTCATTAGCCAGAATATATGAAAAGGGGTAATGGAAATATGTGTAGATTGAAGCCAAGGAGTTTGAAAAGACAAGTGCTCTAAAACATTACACTTCTCCTAATCTCCAACTGAAGCTCACTTTGCCGACTATTAGAACAGCATCAGTGCCAGAACTTAAAAGATAAATACGGGGAGCAGGATGCATCTCCTCTGTCTCGTGGTAGAAAATGCAGCCATTTACAGCCAGTGGTGTGACCGCCAGGTGACAGACTGATTCAGACAGGTTTGATGACTAAACTTCCAACAACCAATCAATCATCATTATATCAACTGTGGACATGCACACTTAGAGAGACAGTTGTATCTCAGTATAATGAGGAATCCTTTTAATGGATATGCATCATCATCTGCACAATGACTACTTAGGTAAGGTTCAGAAAACACATAGTTGTTGTGTCCCAGAGGTGTGCACATTGTGTGTGTGTGTCTGCTTCAGAATGGCAGTCCAGTTACTTTAGCAAGCATATGCTCACTGTACTGATCTTATGTGCTCTGGAGAAACTGAGTCAGCTGAGAATTGAGGTGTGAAAAGAGAAATAAACGGTTAAAAGTGTTAGTACAGAAGAGAAAAAGAGGTCTAGGAGGACACAAAGCAAGTGAAATGATAAAGTTCAGTTATAGTATATGAGACAGTAATGCTGGGAAATAAATGCCATAATCGAGCTAATTTGAAAAGTCAAGAAATTAATTCTGCTGCAGCCTGTGATATGATTATTTATTTGCATTATTTTTGTTAGAAAAAAAAGTAACAAATTAAGAGTGACATGAGCAAACTATTACAATTGTGATGTTGTATATGTTTTCTTATAGAATTCTATTCAAGGTAGAGAAAGTAGCTTATTAAGACATCTCTTTAACTTTTTACTTTTTAGAAAAAATATATGTGGTTGTGTTTGTATGTATTTGTATGTTCATTATGTGAAACATTTTCTCTCCCTCTATAGCAACTGTGGCTCTGTCTCCGGGCAGCAGTTGATGATGATTTAGTTATAGTGCAATATGTGTGGTAGCCTGTATGGGAATGGATTACATTTTTAGATGTTTGGGTTTCAATACACCATGCTGTAAATGAATTGTCTATATAACAGCAAAAACCGTTTGCCTCCTGGCAAGACTTGTATTCCCTTTTCAGATAAAGCGAAACCCAGCTTGTAAATTTACAGTCATTATAAGGTCTCAAAATGTTCTGGATTTTGTGTGTGCCCAAAAAAGCACTTTAGAAACCAATCCAGCAGTTTAAAAAAAAATAAAATGCTGATCTGTGTCATAGAATGCCATGGTCAGCATTAAGTATTTGAGGACATCTGTATGCAGACAGCAAGGATTGCAGTGTCTATGAGATAAGGAAATCCTACAGTGAGCTGGACCTGGTCCTAACTGTACTGAAGATGTCTATGCCCATACAGATACACAATTTTTCACACATACATACATTTTCATTTTTCAGTTTAAACAGTTTTGTGCACTAAGCTGTCACGACACATCACAGCCCCTCTCGAGAAATAACCTCTCTTGTGAACAAATTGAACGCAAAACCTCCCAAAAAAACACCAACCAAACTCATTTCTGTACCCCTCTTAACACAAGGGTGTCCATGTTGAGCAGATTTAGCTACAAATAGGCTACTACATGATTGTACAAGTCTCCAGGCGGTAATAAAGCTGACTGATGCAAGATCAAATGGTCGTCAGACAATTCT